TAGTGTTACAAGAGCAGTTGAAATTTTCGCCCTATGTTTCTTAAAGAAATCCATAAACGTAGCGACCGTTGGTTCAACTTGGTGTTGTTTTGCTCTAGATTGCGCCGTTTGTGGGTCTGTTGAATAAATTTATGTCTTGGTTGTACGAAAGATAAAAAATTTTGGATTTTCTGGCAAGTTGTACAGCTTATCGCTACATTAATGGCCATGTCGTACAAACTCATTTAATTAGCGTTTATTTTGTACACTAAATAACCGAAAATGGATAACTCATCCGAAATAGGTACGTGCTTTCGTTGAATTTTATAAATGTAAGCCGAAACTATGAAATTGTAAAAATGAGATTTTACAATGAGACTGCTCGCAAAATTGCAATGTTTGTGGGCAAAACGTCCAACTTGATTGCGGATTGATTTGAACCAACGTTTTCGGCTTGCATTATGTCAAAAGGATGTGTTTGTTGTAATTCGTTCTGTCATTTACTACCATTATGCGTAGGCCAATTCATGAAAGCATTTCATGCGGTTGAGTAGAAACTGAATGAATGAACACCATTTCCTGATTACAATTAACGCGAAATAGAGTTTATGCACTTATTTTTTACTCAGATCGATGAAAAGATTTCGTGAATTGGACTACGCATACATGTGATACTTGTGCTTTTAATTTATAAGGTATTTTTATATTTTTATACTCTTGCTACCACATGAATATATGAATTCGTGATAAGAATATATGAATTCGCCTTGGAAGATACAAAGCGAGTAAGAATAAATGCCGAACAAAGGAATTTGTCTTCTTTCAACNGTGCTTTTAATTTATAAGGTATTTTTATATTTTTATACTCTTGCTACCACATGAATATATGATTTCGTGATAAGAATATATGAATTCGCCTTGGAAGATACAAAGCGAGTAAGAATAAATGCCGAACAAAGGAATTTGTCTTCTTTCAACTTAAATAAATGCATTTTGCAAACAAAATTGCGTACGTTACTTAGTGCCTTGGTAATGGCGAATTGGTAAGGATCTATTGATTGCATTATAAACATTTTCATTTATTTGTTAAACATACAATTACTTCCATTACAACCCGGTCCTATGGATGCTAGAAGCGCGAATTCATATAAGGTGGTGTTACCGGAAAATTAATAAATAAATTATATGTATATCAGAAAATTAATAAGATGAAATGAAATTATTGTTTGATTTCTAACCAAACCTATGTATGTAACTCAATCACCTAATGGTTTGCCGAACCGGAAACATATGTTTACACATCCATTTTCGTGAGTAGGTACCCTTTTAAAGAAGTTTCACTTCTATCATGTGTACGCACGCCTTTTTTTTTTTTTAATTTAATATTTAGATTTCATTGTTTAAAATTTTTTATTTAATTTAATTTTTGGAAAGTTGTTTTATGTAGTTCTTTTTTAATAAATTTTTTCTTTCTCATTTTAATTATCTTTAATATTGCGATGTTATTGTTTTAAAAAGAATAATATTTTTATTTCATTTAATTTTTTGGCACTTATTTAATACTTTCTTTTTTAAAGATTTTTTTTTGTTTCAAGTTTAATTTTCTTTTACATTTTAGAATTCATTGTTTAAAAAAGAAAAAAAATATTTTTTAATTTCATTTGGTTTTTAGGAACTTATTTTATTTTTCTCTTTATTTAGTTGGTTTTTTCTCGTTAATCTAGTTTTGTTTTAAATTTTTTATCTTATTGTTTTAAAAAGAAAAATATATTTTTTTATTTAATTTAATTTTTATGGTCTTATTTTATTATTTTTTCTCTTTTAATTTAAATTTCTTTAAACTTTTAAATTTTGTTGTAAAAAATATTTTTTTTTAATATTTAATTATTAAGTACTATTTTCTTCTTATTTGTTAGTTTTTTCTTTTTCTAATATAGTATTTTTTCAATTAAATAATAAAATATATATCTTTTATTTATTTTTGCTTTATTTTAATTTTTTAATTTAATTTTCTTTTATTTATCAATTTTTATTGTTTTAAGAAGAGAAAGAATTTTTTTTGTCAATGTTATTGTGGCTTATTACACTTTTTTTTTGTTTTCTTAATTTAAATAAATAAATAAAAACAAACTATTGCTCAAAGACGAAGAGCATAACGCTAAAACCTCCTCGCTAGCAGTTCTTTCAATTCGCATTTCAAAAGACTGTAAAGAACTTTCAGGACAGCTGCCAGAATTGCCCTGCTAGCTTAGTGTTTGAATTTCTTTGTGTAGCCTTAGTCCACCATGCTAAGGATGCTCAGATTATTATTGACTTTACGACAGTGACCAAAAGGTCATTTTGGTAGTAAGGCACCATGTTTTAACAAAAAGTCGGGGGCAAAATAGCCATTTCTACTATAGTAAGTCACAGATTTCTTGGCGCGAAGAAATCCTATTTACCATCAGCTTCCACATATTTAGTTTTACTGCAGAAATATTATAAGTTAAAAAACACACACACACTCCCTCGTATACATGCAATCTAAAATACGTATTTACAAGTAATTTATCTTCGAAAAAAATTTTAAAAAGTAAAATTATATAGAAAATCGTGACTGTACAAGGCGTGCGCCTCTCTCTAGAGTTTTGTTTTTAATAGGTACATTAATATTTACAAGTTTCCCTGGGAGAGCAGCGCACGTGCTCGAGAAGTAAAAAAAAATATCATTTAAACGATCAGTACATATTTACAAAGTGTATGAGTACTTAAATGAGATCACAGTGAGCGTAACTATGTAAAGCAAATTAACCTTAGTGGAATTCATTAGCTGATTCCAGTGACGTTCGCGTATAGCTGGATTTTGTAATTCGCCCACAGCTCTCAGCGAAGTCAACATATTCTTTACGGTTGATTCTAAATTAACAAATGTATCCCAGGCGCGCATCTCTTTGTCTAGTAGACGTATATCTTTGGCAAATTTTTTGCACTCAATATCCATATTTTCAACATCAACTTTGCGCCAAGGTGTTGTCTTCCAATCTTCGATGCAGGTCTGTACGATGTATACATAATCCCAAAGTTGCTGGTTGAGAAGTGTGAAAGATTTGATTAGCTACTTGCATACAACAAGAAAAAAGTGTCTTATTTATAATAGTATTTGAAATAAGTGCGGTTATAAAAAAGATTTTGAATACATATAGGTTTACAAAAATGCTGCCACTTTGCTGGGATCTGTTGAAACATCAAAAAAATTGTTTTGTTGATTATGAGATGGTCCATTCTGCGTATTACCTGTTTTTTTTTTTTTTTTGTATAAAACTATTTTCTTTAACAAAATACTTCAAAATACAAAACAATACATGGAGAGTTGCCAGAGATCTTTGACTAAACAACCTGTTTCCTGTCCATAGGCAAAAAATATCCTGACACACCATTGCGATAAAGTTTGAAATTTAACCTCACACGCAACTAGCCAATACCTGGTTAGTGTGCTGATAAGTTTTGCTACTGAAACGTTAGCTAAGCGTCCTTGTGGTACCCCCTCAGTTGAATATATCCCATAATTAAGTTATTAATTGTGGATTGTTTTTATAGATGGCAACCCTATCTAAAATATTAGAAAACGCTTTTATTCAGATGAATTCCCGAATAGAGTTTCCACATATAAAAATGATGTGCATTGGAGTGGTTCTTAAAATATTAACATAATGGGGCACCCCTATTCTAAATTTAAAGAAAAAACTTGGGATCGCCACCAGGGTTTGAAAATATATATATATTTTTTTTTTTATCGCAAAAATAAAAAATAAAAAACATTGACCTTGACCAGCTATANAAATATATCCCATAATTAAGTTATTAATTGTGGATTGTTTTTATAGATGGCAACCCTATCTAATATATTAGAAAACGCTTTTATTCAGATGAATTCCCGAATAGAGTTTCCACATATAAAAATGATGTGTATTGGAGTGGTTCTTAAAATATTAACATAATGGGGCACCCCTATTCTAAATTTAAAGAAAAAACTTGGGATCGCCACCAGGGTTTGAAAATATATATATATTTTTTTTTTTATCGCAAAAATAAAAAATAAAAAACATTGACCTTGACCAGCTATAACTCAGTGAGTTTATGAATTTATATGAATGGGTTTTAATCAGGCACGGTAACGGTTATGATCTTTATAATAATAATGATAATTTTACCGTTAAAGCTGGATTTCTCTTTTCTTTCGAATTCTAATGTTTTCAATCGATTTTTTGTCGTTTTCGATTTTGACTTTTTCGGTCCCATTATAACCGTTATTTTAAAATTNGCTGGATTTCTCTTTTCTTTCGAATTCTAATGTTTTCAATCAATTTTTTGTCGTTGTTTTCGATTTTGACTTTTTCGGTCCCATTATAACCGTTATTTTAAAATTTAATTTTTAACATCACAAAAGATTTAAATNTATAACTCAGTGAGTTTATGAATTTATATGAATGGGTTTTAATCAGGCACGGTAACGGTTATGATCTTTATAATAATAATGATAATTTTACCGTTAAAGCTGGATTTCTCTTTTCTTTCGAATTCTAATGTTTTCAATCGATTTTTTGTCGTTTTCGATTTTGACTTTTTCGGTCCCATTATAACCGTTATTTTAAAATTTAATTTTTAACATCACAAAAGATTTAAATAGGTTACAAAAACGCAGCCTTCATCATAACGGTTAAAAATAATCAAAAAATAAAGATGCAAAAAGGCGATTATTTTTGACCAAAAAAAAACAAAAATCACACAATAACAATTAATTAGGCCAAAAAAAATAAAACTCTAAATATACCAATTACACAGGATCACAAAAAAAGAAAACTTGCGGCATATTTTCCATATTTGCGTATGTTTCAACGCGCTGAATCCAATCCGAGGTACGTTAGCCTCCATCACGTCAGGTTCGAGGTGATTTGAAGGTCAAGTAGGGAAAAATGCATTGAAAATAAAAAACGAAAAATAAAGATTTTGCATGGTCTAAATNAACAAAAATCACACAATAACAATTAATTAGGCCAAAAAAATAAAACTCCAAATATACCAATTACACAGGATCACAAAAAAAACTTACGGCATATTTTCCATATTTGCGTATGTTTCAACGCGCTGAATCCAATCCGAGGTACGTTAGCCTCCATCACGTCAGGTTCGAGGTGATTTGAAGGTCAAGTAGGGAAAAATGCATTGAAAATAAAAAACGAAAAATAAAGATTTTGCATGGTCTAAATACCAATCTAACGATATTTAATGTTTATTTCGGTCTCTGGTTTCAATAATATGTCAAATTTATCAGATTTCAAAAAAAAATAAATGTTTTCAAACCCTGGTAGCCCCCTAACCCCTAAAAAGGAGTGCCCTATAAAATGTTGATGTAGATATATTAAGGACCAACCTAGCTGTTAGATGTTGCTCGGACTAAGGATCGAACTCATCGGTAATACACTCAGCTACAATGACATAATTTTAATATTTCATTAATGGAGGGCAACTCAAAAAAGGACGTTGTTTAACAAGTACGACTTTTAAAACAGTCTTGGCTATAGTCGTGGTAGCTAGGGAAATAGGTTGTAAAGTCTAAAGTCCCAGTCATAAAAATGCAAATATCTTTCAAATTCAAAAAAAATCAAGCTTTCCAAATTGTCGCATGCAAAATACAAAATAGTTTTTAAAAAATGTTGTAACAGCTTTTGACTGCGCAATTATGTACTTGAAAAAATTCAATGCAGAAAAAAATTGTTTAATAACTATATACACATGTATAGTAGTACATATACATCGTCGACTAGAAAAGAAAATTATTACCTTCAACATACGCAACTCCTTGCGGCATTGCTTCAATGCCTTAAACTCGGGTATATTAACCTCGAACAGACTACCCGACTCCTGTATGTCGCGCATTTCGCATTCCAGCCGATGTATGTCATCGTTTATGCGATCAATCAGCAAATAGGGCTGGTGACAATCAAATCGGAAGAATTTATAATGTTTGAAGATGTCCCGGAATAGCTGAGTGTGCGTCTCAAACTCGGCAACCTTATTGCGTATGCGCACCACTTCGGTAGCCTGCAAGGGCGACACCTGTTGCTTCACGGTCATCGCAATCTTCTTCGTGTTGACCCATTGCTCGGGCAGCTCTTGCAGCAGAACATTTACCTCCTCCGGTATGTCCATGTCGAAGTATTTCAGCAGCTGTATGGTCTCTTGCATGGGTTCGAACATGTTGTCCGTCTTAACAGCGCGCTCCTTAACCTGCATCAGAAAAGCCATAATGCTGACGAGTCCAGCGTAATCGCCCTCCTTAACAGTCTGCAGCAGACCTTCGTCTGCCTTCCGTATAAAACCACTCAAATCCATTAGATTATTCGTGACGGTGTTCACCAGATGCTCTTTAAACATATTGCCCCACTTGCAAACTGTATTCAACAGCGCTTGTCTAAAGGGGCGCACATCGACTTGAAACCAGGCATTGAAAATTTGAAATGGCGCAATATCTTCGATTTCATTAAACAACGATTCGTAGTTGTCGATTTGTTCGCGGAAAGCCTCGATGGTGGGCGCACATGGCTCCGGTGCGCCCGGTTCTTTCATCAGCACCAAATCAATTTCCTCCACATCCAATATGCGTCCATACTCTAGGAAATATTCCATGCATTCTTGTCGATCGTCGAGCCAAAGGTAAGAGTAACGCTCGAATTGGCGACAGAAGAGCGACGCTTCCTCCATAACGCGATCGACGCCATTCAAAATCTCGCGACGCATATCAATGATGTCCTGGTTTTCCTTAACCATATCACCATAATTACGTTTTTCATTTTTCTTCAACCGCTTTATCAGCGTAGCCATTTTCATTATGTCGCGCATCAGCTCTATCAACATGTTGTTAAAACCCATCGGATCTGCGGGATCAAGCGAAGGCACAAATACTAAATTCGGCTCGACTAATTCCAAGCGAGATTCGAAAAGTGGCGCACAATTGTTGTCGGCATCCATATTTTCTGCTAGATAGCCTACGCTAACACCTACCGTCTTCAATATGTTCTCATATACAATATTATCCACAAAGTTCACATAGTTCAACCAAATCTCATCTTCTTGCCTATTCTCCATATTGAACTGTAACATATTATCCTCAAGCAATTTATGTATCTCTACAGAGGCCGCTCGTATTTCCGCATAACGTTTTGCTGTGCGGTCTGGCCGCTCGTCAATGCAAAGCACGGTATCCTTTTTAGAATCTCTACGCTCAAAGAGCGGTTGTTTTGCCCAAACAGACATGAGTTGACTGATTTGTTTTAGATTACTTTGGGTATGATGCATGCGATTTTGCAATGCCGCGACGGGAGTACGAAGGTTGTTTAGATATGTGGTGATATCTGTAGGGTATAGAAGTGTTAGATGATAGCTTATAAATTGTATTGGAAACTTGCGATATAAGATTCATATTTTAATGACAAAGTTAAGGGAAAAGAGCCATAAGGGGATGCCCACAGGGAGGTATTCCTTCTCTTTTAATCTAGTCTTTCGCGGTGGATGACCTATTAACCAAACTATAGGAATGTGGCTGCGGTGCTGTTGGGTACGCGGACGACTTGGTAATTATTGTTATTTGAAAATGTGGTAGTACTGTATCAAACGTTATAAATGCAGCTCTGCGCGTGGCATCAAACTGTTGTGCCAACCAGGGCCTCTATATAAACCCTCAAAAGGCGGCACGTGAACACCGCTTAAAAGAAGGTATAACCCGTACCTTGGTTCGGCTAACCGTGGAGAAACAGTTGTTGAATACTTTGACGAAGTAAAATATCTTGGAGTTAGCCAAGATATGTAAGATAATAAGTTGGAATTTCCTTCTATACAAAACCCTTAGTAATGCCACTCGGCCTATTTGGGCTTGTCGAAGACTTCTTGGTCGAACATGGGGTCTGCACTTCAAATTACTAGAAGGGCTATATTGCACTGTAATTCATTATATTGTGGGTAATGCCTCCATAGTCTCGCGGCCAAAGCCGTCAAAAGGTTGGCTCTACTAGCAAGGAATACGATGTTACTAAGCTAGGTACCTCGCGTGATCGAAGGTAAGCAGGTCGCCGACGAACTGACGAGGGAAGACTCATCGTCTACACTTGTAGGACTGAACCCATTTCGGGGACTCAGTCGGCGCTATTCGAAAATCATAATCGAAACGTCGGTAAACTCAGAACGCAGTAAGAACTGTGAAGAGATAGGGTGACTTAGCCAGGCTAGACTTTTGGTTATCGTTTTGCTGGGAAAGATATGTAGAAACCTTTTCAATAGAGCCAACATCAAGTTTCTTATTGACGGATTGCTGTCTTTGTCTTGAAGAGGAGAAGACGTCGGAGCACATTCTGTGTGACTGTCCGGCATTGGCTACACTAATAGCGTTTTCTTTTTTCGAAAAAAGGCTGCACTTATTCTGCTTGTGTTAGCGCTGTCACATTTTCATGTTATTTTCTCAGCCCTTTCACAAGGCGTCGTGTTCTTTTCTCAGCAGGTTGCGCTCTGATCCGGCGAAAGTGATGCCTTTTCTGCCCTCAAATAAACGTGAGAGACGTCAGGAGTTCGGCGACCAAGAAAAGAAACAGTTTACTTTTGTTAGGAAGGCTTGATAGTACTTTGGGCTGAAAGGGTTGGAAACTGTTATAAGCATACAAAATGTAGCGGTGTCCCTTGTTCCTATTACAGCCATTAAATTTACATTTCATTCTGATAGCCACCAGAAAAGCATTTGAATCAACTTGAGCAAGGTGCAGCTGACCATTAAATCCTGAACCGCCGCTGCGAGGTCGTTGACTGCTTTTTGTTTTCTAGTGAAACACCAGAAAATGCCGCATACTTTGCGCGATTGACTCTTTTCATCCCTTCAAGTTGCCGAGACAGATGGTATATGAACCATAGAGGCGCAGGCATGATAAAAACATTACAAGGTAAATTCATTCTCTCAATTCGTCGGCCAAGATTTTTCTTCTGACGTCTGCCAGCATTTTAAAATCATATAAAGAGCGTGTGTGAATCGGTAACAAAATTTGCAGCGAGTAAATTTTTGACACCTATGAGGTGAATAAAATTTCAGTAGCTCGTGAGGCTAGTGAAATTTTTGAAAATTTTGACAATCGCAAAGATTGTTGATGTGTGTAATTTTTCGTTAAATAAAAGCTTATATTGATGAATTGCAATCAACGATGCACAGTGGTTGCTGCCATAGGACAAAATTAAAAAAATGTATGTAAAAATGTTTGAACCAAAATAGGCTTTGCCTTCAGTTCTTTGTCCAAACTTCATGTTGTCATATATTTTTTGTTTTAATTCTAACGGTTGTTTCTGAAAAAAGCAACAAAAGTGTCATCAATTATTCATTTTATTTGTACAGCGTCAGCACGCTGAAAATTTAATTGGATTTAACGTAATTAAAACATTGTGAAAAGCCGAGTGAGTTAAAATTGTATGCAATGGATATTGTACATAAAAGTATTGACTTTATTTCTACCATTAAACTTTTAGATAATTTGTGTTGTGTTCTATGGAAATCGTTGTTTTAGAAAAGTAGGATTTTGTGTGTTTCTTGGTTCGTCTTTCAAGTATTCAGGTAATGTTTTAAGTGTGTTTTCCCTATCGGCCCTCAATATTTTTATTTACATATTGTTTGTTAATATTTTAAAATTATAAAAGTGTTCAGTGTAGATGCATTGATCTGCAGAGGCTCGCGTAGTATTCCATAACCTAATCCAAGCTCTTTATTTTCTACAGTTTTATAAGCTTTTATTTAACTTGGTCATCCCGCGAAAGTCGCGGAAATTTCCAATCGATTTTAAACTAACTTCCCGACAAGTTAGAGACTTGAAATTTTAAGCGTAGTTCCAATCACGATGACAATGTAATTTAAAATATAAATGAATTCCCTATATGGTCCAGGGGTCTTGATTCAAAGGCGGTCAAAAAATAGTAAGATTTATGGCTAACAGAGCGTAATTTGCCAAAGAACGTAAAACCACTATAAAATTGTTAAAGCTGCCGGCGGTAGTGCAGCAAAGCTATTTGTGGCAAATTCTAGATATCAACCTAGTCTAGATATGAATCTCGTTGTAGGCATCATATCAAAGAGATACAATTAGAAGACTCCAGATGTCGCACCGGTAACATAAATTTTATAACTGGTATTAAAGTGTCTGTCAATTTTTAAACCTTTTTCGCATTCTGTGCTCTCTTGTAACTGATAAATTTGGTTACCATCTCATAAGCTGGTAACAAAATATTGCCCCGTGAAATATGCAATACAGGAATTTCCACAAATCTTCATAGCTGAGTTGCTGAATATTTTCACTGCATTACCAACGTACCTAGAATCGCGGTGACAAGAAGTGGTAACATGTTTTGGTAATAAAATTTTCCGGTCACAAAATCTTCGGTAACGTGCAGAATAGACCTGTAAATATATTCCATTTACATACGCTACAGCGGAAATGGACGACACGCCATTTCTTTAAATGAAATTAACTGCTGCTATATGTACATATGTATGTACATCTGTATGTTTCTACAAAACGTAAGCAAATAACATTTTGCTTGCATAGTCTTCTGTTCTCTTTCATTGCAAGTTGAATTATTTTAATATCTATTGCAAAATTTTGTACATAAAATAAAATAACACTTTTTAATATACAACGCGTTTTAATATAAAAGCTTGTCGGCGAATTCAGCGTACATGCATAATTGGTTAGGTATGTATATGTATGTACGCAGAAAAACGAAGTAAATTAGTACAAATTGTTAGTAATTTTCATTAGAATTTGAATAACTCCTTTCACTAAATGGCTTTTAGTAACTTTAACGAGACCTTAACTTATTTTATTTTATTCATTTTAGTGCAGTTTTGACAAAATTTTCATACTAAAAAATATTTTGTTACACTACTTTATTTTATTCCTTTGATTGTACATGTTAAATAAAAGCTTGTTTTTAAAAAAATTTTTTTTTACATTATTTTATTTTCATGTTTATTCTTGTTTTACGTATCTAATTTTCTAATTCAAAATGTTTCTAGGCACAAGTTAACACTGCGAATTTTCTCGATTGTATGTTCTTGAGATTTGGCGTGAAAATTTCTGTACGAATTCCAAAAAGTTCAAAATTTGCTGGGTATAATAGCGAAAGATATTGAATATGAGGGTTTTGAGCCAGATCGGTATGAGTTACAAAAATTACGTTTGTAAAAAATTCGCATTGCTTTGGCAAAGACCCAAACCCCAAAAATCAGCAGTTTTGAAAAGTCATTATAATTGCCTCAAAAAGAAAGAAATCATTTCATCAAAATGTCAACGACCAGTTTCGACCAATTCAAATCGAGGCGCCCGAAAATAGATTTTGTTGAGTCTTCAAAAAGACTAAAAGCTCAGTTAGTCAACGACGTAGCGTTGACGTAGGTTGGCGCAGACACAATCTATCTTATGGGATTCGCGTGCTAACGAAAACTCACCGCCGCATGGCGGTGACGTTGCCGTTGCTTCTCTCTCTCTCTATCAACAGTAAATTTGATATGCTGCTACGTACGTCAACCTACGTTTACGCTACGTCGTTGACTAACTGAGCTTTAAGAGTCGGCGAACATATCGGGATAAAATTTTTACCCTAAGGTCTGTTAAAAGTAAAAACTCTAATATGTAAAAGTGGGCGGGGTTGGGCACGCCCACATACAGTCATTTGAAAAATAATAGGGACACGACATTGTGACCAGTTTCGGCTATTTTTGTTTGTTTAATGTTTATTTTTTTTTATAAAAATACAACTCACTATCTAACAAAAAACAAATTCCAAACTTTGTAAAAAAAATATAAAAATTCAACAAAATTTTAAAACAACACCAAAATTTTTAAATAAGTACTTTTAGAAAAAAGTTATGAAAGCAGTTTTATAGCCCACTGAATTCTAGCTCAAGATAGTGCAAGTTTTAAGTGGCTAAGAAATCGGTTTGATTTTTGATAATTTTTTTCCCGACGGTGTCGCGCATTTTCTTCCATTCAAAGAATGTTTGACAAAAAAAAATATTATCAACAATCAACGCAAATTTTTAGCCACTTCAAACTTGCACTATCTTGAGCTAGAATTCAGTGGGCTATAAAACTGCACACCTAGATTTTTTCTAAAAGTTCTTATTAAAAAGGTTTGTGTTGTTTTAGAATTTTGTTGAATTTTTCTACTTTTTTTATAAAGTTCAAAATTTGGACTTATGTGATTTTTGTTAGATAGTGAGTTGTATTTTTATAAAAATATAAACATTACAAAAACAAAAAAACAAAAGTAGCCGAAACTGGTCACAATGTCGTGTCACTATTTTTTTTCCTATGACTGTATGTGGGCGTGTCCAACCCCGCCCACTTTTACATATTACAGTTTTTACTCTCAACAGACCTTAGGGTAAAAATTTTATCCCGATATGTCCATTAAAAGTATTTTTGGCCGCTCTCCCCACATAAATGCAACCACTGTGCGATGGTAGATGTTTTCTTAAAATATTATTTTCACCCCAATTTGTAATATTTTATCACTGGCAAAAAATTTTTTAGTTTCACTTTTATTTCAACATATTTTTATTAAAAGAAAAATACTGATAAAACAATAACCACGCCCACATCCCATATAACGGTAATTTAGAGAAATACGAAATCTTCGATAAATCAGTAATTATTGAAGCTAATTTATTCAAAGTTGATGCTTGCAACAATTCTTTACCAGGAAATATGTTTAGGATAAAATTTTGAAAAATGGGCGTGGCACCGCCCACTTGTGATCACATATATGTATCTCGGTAACCGTTCTACCAATTTGTACCAAACTCGGTGTGGTTATTGTGCTTGCCACATAGAAGCAAAACGTTGAAAATTATTGAAATCGAACTAAAATTACGGCTGCTTTTCATATAATAGTAAATTTCAGAAATTTAAGGACGCTAATTTACTCAAAATTGATACACCCCGGTTTATCATGTAGCGGTAGCTTTCGGAAAGGTGAAAAACATATATTTAATACTTGCGCCGGGTATTTAATGTTCGGCTCCGACCGAACTTAGACTTTCTTACTTGTTATATTTATTATCTACCAAGAACTAAAACTTCATCCTTTCTTTTCTACTTACCGTCTGAATTCCATACCAATTCGTTGACACCAATCACCACCAAGTCATCGATTTGTTTTATTTCCGATTCGATCAGCTGCAATTCAACCGGAGAACTATTTTCCTGTATAGTGTTATACCAGTCTATAGTCTTCTCCAAATTCAATGTATAAGTGCGGAACGTTTCATTTTTCTCAGCAAAATCCAAAGCAATTTCCGGTATACCCTCCACAGCCATTTGCTTCAAATAATGCACCTCACGCAGAATACTAAAGAGCTCTGGACTGAAATTTAAAATCAACGAATTGCTATTGGGATCGCGTGCTATGAGCGAAACTTTTAGATTCATTTCGATTTGCTCTGGCAACTTTTCACTCCATTCTTCGAAAGCACACGTTTTGTGTATGCCCAGACGGCGCATCAAGCGTTCGTAGCGTGTATAGATATCAAGGGCCATCTCGGATTTGGTGATACTGTGGAATAAAGAGAAGGAAATAGAGGAAAAAGTTGAAGAAAAGGAGGATGCAATTTTTCATTTTCCTGTCGATAACATTTGCATTCATATTTTAAGTTACTTCTCCCCTTGCTCCTTTGAAGCTTAATCCAAATTCTGGAGTTCGTTAATCAGTTGCAAACAAGGGTCAAAGAGATTTTCAAGGAATTTTAAATCGTGAAGTCCTCAACCCCGAAGCCACATGGGCCAGCTAGTGCATTTGCCAACACAGAAGCTTCGCTGAACGGTTAAACTTTTAACTTTTGCAGCGACTTTCGCTTCCAAGAGTTGAAGATAGTCTCAATACTCTTCGAAAACTCTAGATGTGTCGTTTATCCATCGAAAAAGATTCCCATAAATGCCCAAGTTGAGATTTTTACCATCTCCACTTACAGCGCAATGAGCCATCCGCCTATTGCAACCATTCTATTATCTATCTTTGCCTCATCTATGTACCGATTTGCGTACATTTCTGGAAACTTACTAAGGGAGTTCGTTTGTCTTGAGTTTTTAATTTTGATTTAGAATTTCCTGCCAAAGTAGGTTCCTTTTGATAATATTGCAGAAAGCCAAAAACTTTGAACGTCGGCATTTTTGCCTAATGATATTTCTCTCTATCGAAGTTACTTCTGCTTGAACATACACATATGGGGTAGCTCCAGGTCCAAGGTAGAACAAATCATTTACCGTGTATCCTTGAACCTTGCACCTGGTAATCATTTGGCTTTTTGAAGAGTTGGCGACCTAACAGCGAAAGTATAAACCCCAATCGAAGGGACCGTTATNAAAGGTCCAAGGTAGAACAAATCATTTACCGTGTATCCTTGAACCTTGCACCTGGTAATCATTTGGCTTTTTGAAGAGTTGTTGGCGACCTAACAGCGAAAGTATAAACCCCAATCGAAGGGACCGTTATGTGGTAAAGCCCTTATATAACCTTTGAATTCACACGCAGCATTATAAAAATTTCTCGGGTGGCTTAGGTTAAAGATTTATCTAGATGAAATTTGCAGTTTTAGCCATGGACTTTATAACCTTTAGACATAGCAATCGCAGTTCGGAACCTGTATAGATATTCTCGATTGACCCATAAGTAATTTTTAATGGCTATGGTGTATTCATCAATTTTCCTTTCCTATTGTTTTCAAAAAGCTCTTTTACTGATGTAATAATCCGTTAGAAACTTGTTAATGCTATTCTCCATACTCCCTTCCCAATTCAATTTGGAGGAATTCAAAGCAGGGGAACTTTTATTTTTTCTTGTGAAGGTCAGTTCACTTTTGATTGGCCCACTTCGAGAAGTCGTCCAGTGCTCGCTTGATTAGTTCACTTATCGTTGGCAGGAATGTTTCCGAGATAAGTATTACAATATCGTCACCATAGGCAACAACCTTTATTCCTTTTGTTTTGAATGATCTCTGGATTTCATTCACCGCCAGGAGCCAGAGAAAAGGGAAAGTGCCAATATCCGCATTGATCACTCTACCCTCATTCATGGAGTCAACTCAAGCTCATACTATGGAACGCTGACTGCTACGTTCTAGAAATGTCCGGCTTATTGTATCCGAGAGGACATTATTGAAGGATCCCTCCCTGTCCACGGACCCAACCAGGGTATATTCCTTAAAGTCTAATGCTTCTAAATATCTAGTACTACCGACCACTGATCTTTCCCTAATATGTAAATACATAACTATTATTTCTAAAAGCTTTAAGGTAACTGTCGGCCTCTAATCATTTGTCTTTAAGTTTCCCTTCCCTTGGGATGAATATAATTCCACCCTCCCTACCCATCTGCTAAACATCTTAAAAAGATATTTGTTAAATGAGGAAATAAGCTTTCACATGAATGTTGCTACTCGACCTCTTCTGTCGACTGCACTTTTTATATCTATGTTGCCCCTATTTACTTAGCATTCTACCAAACCGTCACGCGTTTGGCTCGTGACCGAGATATATGACAGAATATTTCGAAACATGCGGTTAGAATTGCGGTCAGACGATTTAATGCTTTGCCGTCCACCGTCTAACTTTGATTTTGTTCGTAACTGATGTGTTGGATATAAATTTAGAAAATTTAATATAAATATATACTTACTCGTGTTGTAGTTTTTGAAAATGTTTCACAGGCGTACTAATGCGCGCTTCCAGTTGATTGCACCAACGTATAAAAGCCGCTACTGGTGGACAATTATAATCGGGATATAAATTTTTATTCACTTGCTGTAAATCCAGTTGCTTGTAGAATATATCCTCACAGGTGGTCATTTCCACTTCGAGCATTTGTACAATTTCTGTATATCGCTGTGTAAATTGCTCCTTAATTTTTGGACGATCGATTACGCTGCCCACAATATTTATAAGCTAAAAGAAATGAAATTTATATAAAAAAGTTTTGCAAAACCTTCCACTTTCTTGCATCCACTATGCTGACCTTGAACATGCTCTCCAAATTGTGACAGTCATCGAATGCTTGACACAAAATCGCAGCCAATTTCATATCCAATTCCAAAATGTGTGTTTGAAAGTCCTTGAAATCCTCGTCAAATTCATGATCGTCGGGATCGAGCACATCGTAGGACTTGGATGCGAATGCGGTAAAGTACTGATTAAACTCGACATAGACAGCAGTGATGCGTGTACTCAATTGCCGGCCGCGTAGGCCACCGATCTCAACTTTCTCTAATTTCAAGAATTCAATCACCGTAAAGAAAAACCTAATAAAAGAAGAAAAAAGCTGTGCAAGGAAACTACAGTTTGCAGATATTTTTGGTAAACTTACCATTGTATTGTTGTTAAACGCTCCAGAAAGGCATTAAAGCGATTGAAAACGGAATTGGGATGAAAAGTCCAGAGAATCGGTGGTCTCTCCTCCGGCTCGGGAAAGAATTCAGCCAAATGTTCTTTGTAGTAATCGAAAAGTTCGCGAAAGAACTTCAAGATTTGTATGGATTGTGTGAGTCGTTGCATAGCTTCGTCAATATCGCTGTGGAATATGGAAGAGGGATCGAGAAAACGCTTGGCCTATAATTAAGAAAACATACAAATTTAGGGAACAGATATATTTCGGAGTACGCCGATAAATTCTTTATTACCTGGTGTATAATTAGATTACAGATTTGTTTCAGCAACACCGTTATCTTCGAAGAGTTACTGTAATAACGTGAATTACCCCACATCGTGCAGATCACATACATTAACGGTATAAGTAACGGTTTGCATTCAGCAAAATCAATCTCTTCCAGCATTTGTATAAGACGCTTCAATGGGTTAAGATAGAGCGTTATGTCTTTCGCTTCGGCCAGCGCTAGCAAGTAGAAAGAGTGACCAGAAAAAAGTGGTGCAAATATTCTTATTTTATCTTAAAATTTCAGCATCTAGCTTGTTTACCTGTTACCACATTCTTGAATATGCCCTGAAAGCATGGATGATATGCACTATTGGTGTATTCCAGCACTAAAGCCATAGCGCGTATTCGTTCACCGCGCAATTGATCGAATATGAAGGACAAATTTTTGAGGCGATTATTCCAGAAAGCAATTTCTTTATGTTAAAATAGTTAAGAACAAAATTTTGTTAATCGAAAGTGGGAGAAAGATCTAATTTAAAATGAACGAAATCTTTTGTATGAAGATTCTTCAACAAGTCTAAAATTAAACTTAGCCAAAAGCAATGGGTGGCAGTGCAATTTAGTAAGGTCTTTCTTCTGGGTATTCAGTTACAGTTGCACGGTTAAACTCAATCCCAAATTTTGCGTTACCGTTCGCGCACTCTGGACAATGAGAGCAACCTATGAGCCAAATGCGCTAACTAGTTCGTGTGAGCCTTGGTTCACGGCAGAACGGGAGGGAGCTTCGGTGGGGCCATATGAGCCAAATGCGCTAACTAGTTCGTGTGAGCCTTGGTTTACGGCAGAAAGGGAGGGAGCTTCGGTGGGGCCATACCGAATTCTTCGGTTTAAGTTCTCACTGAAGTTAGCAGGGTATGTTCACCAATAAACGCGGCTGCAAGCACACGTCTGACTTGGTGCAAGCAATGTGCGGTCGAATATAACACAAGGACTGCGATTTATGGATATGCATAGGGAATGTCTGGACTAAAGATGGGCGCGGGATATCGGGACCCGCGGGACCAACGGTACAAATTTCAAAATGGCCTGGGTGGGCGGTATCGGGAAGGTCTTTCAAAACTTTTCGGGCGGGACGGGACCAAAATCCTTTCCCGACACTCTCGATTAAACCCACAACCGCCGCAAATTCAGAAAATCTTACTTAAAATGTTGTATAAAATAAAAATTATTTTATGTTTTATTGAGATGAAAACGAACAACATAGAAAAAAATGGATCTTTCATGATCTTTTTTATTATTTAAAATTAATTCGAAAGACAGGTAAATTTTTCTTAGTAATAGATTTCGGGACCCACGAGGCAAAAACAGCGGGATGAGCGGGTTCGGGACTTGAAAATTTTATTTCGGGATGGCCGTGATCGGGATTGAATATTTAGTCCCATGCCCATCTCTAGTCTGGGCCATCTATAGGGAGGGTGTCTTTATCAAACAATTGCATGTCCTCGCAAGCTACAAAGCTGGCATAACCGCAGGAACCCCAACCGAATGTATAGGAACGAAGCTTACGTACCTTCCCTACACCAAGACGACAAGAGAACAGCAAGGCCAACGGCGAAGGGCTGGTAGGGTTCATGTAGCAGTTGTTAATCCAAATTTTAATTACCTACCCGGCGTATTTTTGCCTATAGAGAAGGATGGAGATCCCCCTATTTGCGCCAACTAGCGCGGACCTTCAGACCCAGCAAATCCATTGCGCGGTTCGTCAAAACCGGTAGACCCTACATAAAGAAATCAACACACAACCCAAATTTCGTTGATTTTAAAGCTGCCTTGGGGTACCAGTAAAACTGATGCGGTTACCTAGAGTGAAGTTGAGTACAACTTTTAGCTCCCTAAATAATTGCAGTGCCAATAATAAGAAGAATTCGCACNTTATAGCACGAAGAGAAGCTACGATGTAATTTCTGAACTTGGGGTACCAGTAAAACTGATGCGGTTACCTAGAGTGAAGTTGAGTACAACTTTTAGCTCCCTAAATAATTGCAGTGCCAATAATAAGAAGAATTCGCACAAACAAATTAACAAAATATTGCAGAACTCAGTACCCTGAGAACCAGCTATACTTTTTCGAGGGTTGTTTGGAGCACAGAGTTTAAAATCCGGAATCAGACATTCTCGGATCTTCTTCTTCTTCTTCTTTTTTGGCGCTGGAACCGCCTAAGCGATTTTGGC